TTATTATTATTATTATTATTATTATTATTATTATTATTATTATTATTCCTTATATGCAATATAATGAATCTGATAAGAATGACACTGGATAAAGATCAGGGAAAATACTATGTAATGCATAGTGAACACATTTTACCTGGATCTGGTTTTTTTCTTACAACTGTGGAATCCACTGATACACTAGAATTAGTACTAGAGCTTGGATGAAGCGGCTTTGGAACATCTTCATTTGTTAATTTCTCACCTTAGAATTAAAAATAAAGATAAAAGTATTATCAGCTAGTAGCAGTGACAGCTATATGTTATCTCACTAAACAGAGGAATATTGTTGAGAAAGTGAGTACTATTTTACTTGTATGTTAAAGGTTGAATTCTTATAGGCCAATATGAGAATAGAAAATACTGTACTGACTTTTGACCTGATTCATGATAGATTCTTTTATGCATAACACCATATTCTTTTTTTTTTTGACTCCTTCTTTCTTATTTATTTGAATCTTCCTGTGCTTTTAGGTTCATAAAGAGAATAGTCAAGCCACTTAAAGACAACACTTAACTCAAGCATCGAACATTCTGATTCAATTCTCAGTAAAAACAAGCTATATGAAGATCATGTCTCTGATGATCTTCTGACTAATCCCCATAAATCCCCCAATTAAATACTGTCTGTATATATAAAGACTGTGAAAGGAATAGTGGGCGAAATCCTACGTAACTTTTAAGATAATTTTGGAGAACAGAGATTTACTTAGCTTAGCAATCAGTTATAATGTATTTCAATCAGTTATAAGAATTCCACAAATAAAATATAAAATTAAAAAAAACATAAGAAAAAAACCAATGTTAAATATTTTAAAACGGTCACAAAATCAGTAGAAACATAATCAAAGTAAATCCTATTCATAAACATACCATTTTACTGTAACTGAACTTACTTCATTCCAATAATTGTAACATACAGTACCACCAGAACTGACAGAAAACAGCTGCAACCTTCTTTGTAATCATAGAACACTGGTCTAAGAATAAGATGAGAATTCTTTCCACCCATCTTGTTTTCGAGTAGCTACTATTCCATGCAAAGATCATAGTAAAAGAGGCAGCACAATAACACATTGGTCTGCTCAATCTCACTGATCCCACAAGAATAGATGCATTCAGCTTTGAAGATATTATCATACTTCCTTTCAAAAGAACTAAATGAAGCAAGCTTAAAAAAGCTCTTTCATGCAGCACATATGTAAGATTGTATCTTGTATGAAGAAGACTGTTTCCACATGAGGGAACATGTGTGTTTTAGACTCTCAGGAACATAGACTGAACATTTTTCACCAATTTTTTTGAAAATATATATTAATACAACATCTGTCCTAGTTCAGCATTGTATGGCATAAGTGGCAGCATAGAAAATAGACAATCTAGCTTTGGTGCCAAGCCAGGTTTGAAGTTTGTTATTTGTTTAATGGCCCTTTGTTTTGTTGATTTTGTTGCTTATTAGGACAATTTTGTCAGGATTGTCTGATTTAATACTTTTAGCTGTTTACATGGTTTTTTTCCCTAGTTTTGTATGCTGCTCATAATCTACTGGGTGGCCAATATAAGTAAGTAAAAAAGCCTAAAAAACTTTTTTTAATGTTACATTTCTGAGTACTGCAACCTACATTTTCAACTTGTGTGCATCTATTCCAAGCATTTTTCAGTTTTGTATTTGCTTATGGTTCCTGGGACAGCTATTTGGTGAAATCCCCAATCAACAATTTTGTAAGACAGCCCACAGCATGTTTTAAAATTCCAAATACCAGTGCAAAAAAAAGGAAATGTTTTGTCTGTCAATTGAAAAATGATCCAAAATGGAAAACCTTACATAGAAAGCTTTCATTGCCATAGATACATCATCAACTGGCATCTTTCAGCCATTCTCGACATCCGAGGTCCTTGGCAGAGTCCACTGTTGGTCTGCCTCAAACTTCCTTTAGTTTATTTTCTTAAAAGTTGCATTTGGTCATGGATATTTGGAACATTAAAATGTCCAACCAAACCATCTATTGCTGCTTGAAGTATGGACATTAAAGCCAGGTAAACAATTAGACTGCTTTGACAGATGAGAGTCCATGCCCAAAGATACTTTGCCCAAATTCCCATTAACTTGGAATTGGCTCTGTTCATTAGTCAGGGATGTATTTCTTAATAAGAACAAATGTCAGACTAAACTTATTTCTCAAGTAATAGCTACATTATCTAAAAGAAAAGGGTCTGGATATTCCTCTAAGCATATATTTTTATAGAAAATGTGATAATGCAGGGAATATAAATTATCTACAAAGTAGGCAAAAAAGCACAGAAATAGAGAAACAGAGTTCATTAGATAATACACAATCCAATGTTTTATTTCTCATATGATTTTCCATTGCCTCCTTCTTAGGGTTGAGAGAGAATGACCAGTGCAGGATCACTCAGCTGGTTGTGTGCCCAAGAAAACTCAGAATTGGTTTCTTAGGCCTTAACTACTATACCAAACTCTCTCTTTTATATTAAATGTATAAAACATACATTATTAATTGTTCTATACAAAGGCACAATATTTGTTGCCTCTTTATTTTTAATGTAACATTTATTTTGATTTAAGAATTAGTAAAGAATGGGTTATCAAAATCTAATATGAAATAGAAATAGTTTTCTATTTCAGAACTTATATAATTTGATTTTTTTTAATCCAAACTTTTTAAATCCAAATTTGTCTTACTTAACTCAATTTATTTTGCTCGATCTTGACAAATATTTTTAATGAGTAAGCAAATTGTTCTCTCTGTAGCCTTCACTTTTCAGGCTGCAATTAAAGTGTCAGAACCACTAGATTTTTTTCTTGGAAGTAATTATGGCACATCCAAAAGTTAGGACATGTTTACACTTCAATAATTCCAGTTAGAATCTCAGGGTTAAGGGTTAATTGTGGTTCACATTACATCTTTTTCTTTATATGCATCTACTGTTACTTTCTTAATGTAAAATAAACATTAACAGAGCGCCAAATACATGTCTACTGAATGGCTTTACTTCCTGGCATTTGATTGTAGAACTAATTATTTCACAATTATATTATTGTTTTCTATTTATCTGTTTACAGAGATAAGCAAAGGAGCACAAGGTATACCATTAAACATACCTGCAACAAAGTAAAGGTGCCACTACTAAACATTTCAACAATATCAGGAATAATATTTAAGTGTTACCTCTTGGTTTTTTACTCCAGGACGATCCTCCTGGTGTTCTAGTTCTAGGAGGAGCTGGTGTTGTTCTGTGGACAACTGAAAAAAGGAATGTCAAGGTTATTAGGACCTGATTGGAGATAATATATTTATTTTCATTATGGTTATTAAAATTCCAGCTTTCTTCATCCCTATTCACTGATTTTAACTACTACACCAAATTAACTCTCCAAAAGCTGCATCTTAGCTAGCTCCAGTTAATAAAAGAGGAAAGGTAAACATACTGAAATACAGCTTATGTTTGTGATCTGCAACAGCAAAACACTGACTGCTATGCAGTGTTTTGGAGAGGCTTTTGGAAAAAAACTGCAGTATTACATACTAAAGAACAACTATTCAGTGGGAAGAATCACACTGAATATTTATGGAGACACTGAAAGTAAGAAAACAAGCAGGACATTACATATGTGATTGAGGCTGGAGAGAGCACCAAATGGTTCAGTATTTCAAGGACAAGAAACAGTTTTGCTTTTAATTCAAGGTAATAAACTGATCAGCTAAAATATTGTTCTGTATTGATTTTAGTAGACTGGGTTTCCTATTTTGAAGGCAATACCTTTTCTCAAACGTGGAGTTTTGGTGACTGTCACTTTGTTGTTCAGTTTAGATGAAGCTAAAACAAAATAAACATGTTAAGTTTTGTTTTTAAATGCAATATGAATAAGACTATGACTTTCAAAACAAAAAGTACTAGTCCATCAAAGCAATCTTACAGGTGTTCTAGGAAGATTAAATTTTTGGCACCAGGAAATTTAGAATTAATACGATTTCTGATTCAGAAATCTGTTTGATGTAGTATTCTGTATAGTCAGTTTCTACACTTAGGTGGAGAATTTATGTAATATATTTACACACACGCACACACCACACACACACGTGTGTGCGCGCACACACTGATTCATAAATCTGCATAAAATTTAAGTGACTAAATCCTCATTCCAGTTAACTTCAAGGTATAGATAAATAAATCATCCATAATATCTTGGAACAATTGGAAACATGTGAAGCTGAGTTGATTCTGGGTATGCTGCAGTTAAGATATAGGGAACAAAAGAAAAGTCACAGCCACAGTTAGGTAGTTCTGTGAGCCAGATTTGGAAATAGAATAACAAGCAAGATTATTGCAAGAAAAAGAATCCTAACACACTGCCGTCTATAGCAATAGCACTTAGACTTATATACCACTTTAGAGCCCTCTCTAAGTGATTTTACAGAGTCAGCATATTTTCCCCAACAATCTGGGTCCTCATTTTACCCACCTCAGAAGAAGGAAAGGCTGAGTCAACCTTGAGCCTGGTGAGATTTGAACTGTAAAATTTTAGGCAGCTAGCAGTCAGCAGAAGTAGCCTGCAGTACTGCACTCTAACTGCTGCGCCACCACAGCTCATGCTTATTGTATACATCTACTTATTGTATTAATATTCACAATTGAATGTATTCCTAGTATCCTTTTATTCTGTTAAAAGAACAGTTTATGATGATTTTGGAGATCATTCTTAATTTTCTTTTAGCACCAAAGGAAGATTTGGCTATTAACTCAAATGTTTATGTTTTAATAAGATTACTCTTGTCTATACATCATTCATATCCATTTAGTTTTCAATGTGATTTTGGCTATATCCTATCATAAATTTTGTATCACCACATGATACTGCCCTTGACCAAGTCCCCATCCTTATCCTTTTTAAAGATTTGTATGCTTATATTGCTAATGTTTTGGCTCTGCAGTATTGCTGTGGCTGCATTTTTAGTAGTTTGAATAGCTAAAACCCCAAAGCAAACAAGCCAAAATATATCAGTAACTAACTGTTAATCCCAATTATTGTCAAAATCTTATCTTTTAGACTGCAAAATAAATGCAGATGTGAGGGGTTCTCTCCATCTCTGTTAGTAATAAGCCAAACCAAAGCTAAAAGGACAGATTGCATTCAGACATTCCTTATGGGAATTCTTTTTACAACTAAAAAGGAATTAAAGTTCTTGCTGCTAGCCCAAAAATTCCCAAGCTTTGGTAGGTGCTATTGTTTGATTATTTGATTTCTGATTGTCTAGATCCCTAATGGTAAACCTATGACATGCGTGCCACAGGTGGCACGTAGACCCATTTGTGCAGGCACGTGAGCTCCAGCCAAACTTACCTGCACTGCACATGCGCAGGCCTCCCAGCTGATTTTTAGCCCATTTGAGGTCTTTTTTGGCCTCCTTGAGGTTTGAGGGAAGCCTCTGCAGCTTCAGGAGGCCGAAAAACGGGCCTATCGAAAATACTGAAAGTGCCCATTTTCAGCCTCCAGAGGGCCTCTGGAGCTAGAGGAAGGCTGTTTTCACCCTCCTGGGGGTTCGAGGGAAGCCTCTGCAGCTTTTGGAGGCCAAAAAATGGGCCTGTTTCATCACTTCCGGTATTTTGGGGCTGTTGTGTGTGCATGCGTGGGGGTGGTGGGGTGCATTGCATGTGCTGGCACACATGCTTTTGGCACACCACACCAAAAAGGTTCACCATCATTAATCTAGATGTTGCTAATGTCGAATCCTAATAGACCATGATCAATGGTCATATTGATTAGGCCTGATGAGAGTAGTGTCCTAGAAAGTCTGTTCTCCTTGCTTTTTAAGAGACGCAGTATGCTTTGGATTGCTGAGCAGTTATTTTTATAGAAACAATACATAAAGAGTCCTGCCAGCCTATCATTTATTATTATTTAGCTTGAAAATAAGAAATATGAGATGAATAAAAAGTTATTATTCATTTTTCCTACATCCTTTTTGTTTTCCTTCCATTATAATTTGGTTACCCTGTTAAATAATAACAGACAATGGGCAAATCAAAAATTAAGAAACATAATTCTTTGTGCAAATAAAAAAGCCAAACTTTCCTCAGGCATTTTTTCATGAAGCCTTGTATCAAATTTAGAAGACAGCAATTGTGGTGTGGTGTGGTGTGAGTGTGTGTGAGGGGGAGAGAAAGAGAGAGAACACCTTGTTCATATAATATATTAAAATTTGACTTTGAAATGTAATATTACATTGGTGGGTGATATATTGTATAAAAAAGAACTTACTAGCACGTAGCATACCCAATAATACCTAACATATTTGCTCTTTAGAAAAAAACCTTACTTTTTATATAGCTTTGTTATGAGTCGTTATGGATAACTAAAATAAGTTAATGTTTATGTATTTCAAGATATTGCATCAGTTAGATTTCAAAACAACAATAGCAGTTTCAAAAATTTCATCTATGAGAATTTGATCAAAATTTAACTACCAGGTTTAGTCTTGTTCTTTCCTTGTTTGTCAGATGGTTTGGGTTTTGAAGGAAGAAGTTGTGTTTCTTTTGGATCTGGAAAAAGGGAATAGGATATTTATTAGGAATCATGGCTTGTATTTTATTCAAATAAGAGTACATGACTTAAAGTCACTAGATAAAAATAGAGATTATTGCATGTGTTTCTGGTAGCTGACTTGAAACAGAGCGATAATATATAACCAGTGTTAATGAGAAATAGTCAAGCTCTGAGAAACAATATCTTGATTAGGAAATGTAGAAAAAAAGACATTATTTACCAATGTTAGAATCTGACAGAGAGTAACAAAACAAAACATATGTGGAAAAATCTTTACAATATAAATCAATGTGTTACAATAAAAATGATGTTATTTTTGATAATCATGAAGGAATAAATTGTTTATTAATTTCCCTATGGCATGTTTTAGTCATATTTGTTCACCCAATTCTCTACCAGCGAGAATTCACAGAGGTGCCCATATGAAGTGAGTGGTCTGAGAGCAATGAAGACCCAAGTAACAAAGGAATTTGGAAGAAGTAAGCCAGAACCAGCACCTTGACTTGACCCAAAAGCCTACTGGTAACAGCTTCTGTATCCAACATAAATCAACAAGCATAGTTGCATTTTTTGCCTGTTGTAGCTCCTGGGGCATTTTCAAGCTAAGTATAACAGTGTATCTGGGATGTGGTAAGAATATACATCATGTTTCAGTCATTCTGATCCAAGTAAGATCAAACCAGGTGGTCCATGGTTAAGAATGTCACAGGAAGCCAAGAGATCCAACATGTCTAGGAGATCATTCAGATTCCATTGCACATGAAATAGGATTGATAAAAGATGATATAGAAGTATTGAAAACTACTGCACATTTGAGCCTGTGATCATGTTAACTACAAAGGTATAAATATAATTGTTCCTAATTATTTTAGATGTAACAGCTGAGTGCATATTTCAAACATGGTCAAAATATTTGTGTGTATGTATATCTGTACATACAAAAATATTCAAGGCAACTAGTGATATATAACTTGTCCCAAAGAAAAGTTTTTCAAATTTGATATGATACGAAACAAAGTAAGAGCATAAATCTTTCATCTAACACTACTGTTGGTTGTAATTTCAGTGATTTTAGTTTTTGCAGTGGATTTCTAGTCTTCTTTTAGAAATAGAGAAGAAAACAGGAGTATAGAAGCAAATTTTCTGACAAGTTTTCTTCTTGTGTTGAGATATTTGTGCTAAATCTGGCAACAGGACAATATTTTTTACAGAAAATTGAGATTTGGAAACCTTTTTCTCTTCTAAATAGTCTCTAAGGGGGGATTTGGGATACCTTGATCTAAAAATACAGAAACTAAAAATATGGATGATAATATGAACATATAGAAATGAGACTCAGTTACAGATTTGGTCTGTAGAATTGTTAGCATGGATAATTTGATTGGTTAAGAATGAACTGGAGGAAAGTGAAATAAGAATTTAAACTGAATTATACTGTGCAGAAATGCATCTGTTTAACAGCTGATAAAAGCTGGTATGAAAGTCACATGGGCAGAAGGTTGAAAAAGAAAGACAATGTTGTTATTATTGCCTCAATATTTTGTCATCATTATCACCATCATCTTTGTCTTTAAAAATTTCTGAATGACAGGTATTACTTTGCTTAGTATTTTCATTATGAGAGATAATATTTGCAGAACATGTTTACGTGAATTCAGAACTTCTATTTGAATGACACTGAATTTTTGAAATTTCTGGACTATCACTTTCTGCATTTTATTTTATTTATAACACATATGGCTAGTTCATGTCTACCTAAAGTTAATCCAAAGTTTGCACTGGGTGTTTTTTTTCTTCCTTTGTTGACATAATTGGAGACATTGTGGCTTTGTCCATAATATGACCATGGAGCACATTGATAGAATTGTAGTATACTAATAGATATGAATACTGTATGGCAACCTATAGTTTTGAGTACTAATAATTACCTGTAAAAATACTTCTCTATCTATCATTCTGCATTTGCAAAGGAACAGCTAAAGGTACTTTCTGTACAATCAGTCGTGGCTGTTTCCCTTCACTGAGAGAATCACATATATTATGAGGTTTAATGAAGCAAATAAGATTCAGAGCACTGGTGACTTGATCTTCTTTCTCTATTTCTTCCACCTTCAGACCAGTTGCCCCCTCACCCTCTTCTTTCTTTCTTTCTTTCTTTCTTTCTTTCTTTCTTTCTTTCTTTCTTTTCCTTCCTTCCTTCCTTCCTTCCTTCCTTCCTTCCTTCCTTCCTTCCTTCCTTCCTTCCCCCTTCTCCTTTCTCCTCCTCCTCCTCTTCCTTCCTCCTTTCTCTATCTTCTTCTTCCCGAATATACATATCTTCCTTATTTTAATTTGATGGAGAACATTTAACTGTATAACATTAAGAAAGTAAAATAGAAAAAAATATTCCAAAAACAATTGGAATGATGAAACAAAGAAACTGGCTCCAATTTGCATTAGATGAAGTGTAAGTAACCTGAATATGATAGAGGTCAGATAAAATGCTTGGGTAAGTAATGTCTCTTGCCAGGTTGTTCAACTATATTGTTCAACTACCAGTATATAAAACAATAATATTAAAGTGGTGCTGCTATTTTAAAACTCTTTATGTGAAAGTCAACGTTTACTGCATATTTGTGCCAAGGACAGCTAAACGTACGAAAAAAGCAAATAGTTATTATTTATAATAGTACAAAACATTTTTTTCTGGAAATTAATTGTCCTTCAAACAAACAAGAGAAGAGCATAATTTTTATTGTACATGATTACCAAGTGTTTCCTTTGTCTTTTCAGGGGCAACAGGTACCATAGTTGTAATAAGATCTTGAGAGAATGGAATAGTTTCTGTGGGACAAAAAATGATTTTTTTTTCATCATGAAAGAACTGGAAACATTAAGAAAGTTAATTTTCAGTAGTTTGTTTAATGTAGTTTGTTCCAAATAATTCACTCTCCAATACATGAAAAAAAAAAAAACCTTAGGCAGAAGGATTTTATTGCATTAAAAGAATAGTTGGGAAAACAAATATCCATGCATCTGAGTGGGAGCCATATATTCATGAATATTCATACAAATTTAATCCTTGTCAGTTCTTTCATTTTGCCTTTTGCTTGGCTTTTTCTGACTTGGGAAGTAACAATCACAGATGGACATGCCTCCAGTTGTTCCGTGAAACATTGTGTGCAGAGAATGTGGGTGCATTTAATATGCTCTATCATCCTATAAGATGCCAAGAAAGATTAATGAAGTATTTTATTCAGTATTCAGTATTCAGAGTTATTTGCTCTCAATGTGAGTGTAACCCTTTTCTATGTCTATATCTATTGGGACATGATAAAGAAATAATTTTGCAATAAGAAAAGTTTATAATATTTTTAATTGCATATATACAAATTTGGAATCATCCAAAACATATTTCAAGATTCTGTAGCAATTCAGGTGTTTTATACTTCTAATGAATCTGAATCAAATTTGAAATAAAAATATTTTAATTGCATATACAATTTCAGTTTTTCAATTTTAGGCAATCCAAACTCATGTTATAACAATGCAAATGTTTTAACCCTTGTTTGACAATTTACTTATATAATGAATCTACATTCTGATTTAATTCCAGTTTAAAAATTATAGGAAATCTGAGTTTGAGAACATGGCCAAGTAGGGTTTATATATTTTATATCTACTTTTGGCCAATCAGGCATTTAGATAATGATGTTATATGAAAGTAGTATGGTAGTAAACAATAGTATTACTATGTAATAGTAGTACTTCTAGAATAGAGTAGAGTAGAGTAGAGTAGAGTAGAGTAGAGTAGAGTAGAGTAGAGTAGAATAGAATAGAATAGAATAGAATAGAATAGAATAGAATAGAATTCTTTATTGACCAAGTGTGATTGGACACACAAGGAATTTGTTTTGGTGCATCTGCTCTATAATGTATATACTAATAATGTAATGTAATAGTTATATTTCTATAATACAATATTATTTGCATTTTAAAAACCATCTGCTCTGAATGAATGTCAGAGTTCTTTCCCCACAGATTGGTCAAGCAATGACTTGAACCAGGGCTTTTTCTTAATAAGTCCCAATTTCCTTAAAATACCGTATTTGCCGGCGTATAAGACGACTTTTTTGCCCCGAAAAACATGCCTCCAAGTGGGGGGGTCGTCTTATACGCCGGTATATCCACTGCCGGCTTTCGGATGCTTGTTGGACGCAGCGAAGGCGCCTCTGGCTTCCTGGATCCCCTGCGTCGCTTCCGCTTCATCCCGCTCGCCTCGCTCCGCCCGAGGCTGCAGCCTTCCTGCTCTTCCCACGGCCCCTGGCACTCTGCCCTGCCGCTGCAGCCCCGGGGATTTCTGGAGGGCGTTTCCGGTGGTGGTGGGGGGTCGTCTTATACGCCGGGTCGTCTTATACGCCGGCAAATACGGTACTTCTCTGATGCTATTTTAATTTCTACTAATTTAAAAAAAATAGAAGATTTTTATTCTTTTATATTAGTAATTTTGTGCAATTTCATAATCTTTTATATTGAATGAGCTCCCCACCTAGTATACACAAGGGCTTCTGGGACTTCTATTCGCTGTTCCTTTTGCTTATACAGATTGATGTTTTGCTGGTAAATGAATTGTCCACAGATAATCTGCAAGTGGGGCTAGAGAAATAAAGGCAGCAAAACTGTGTGCCACAAGTGAAAATGGAGCAGGATTCCCTTGTGTTTAGCTTATCAATAGCTTATATGAACAAACTTGTATGGATAAGTATTGAAGTAAATGCTTATAAAGAGCCATGGTGGTTAGAATGCAATATTGCAGACTAATTCTGCCAACTGCCAGCAATTTGATCCTGTCGGGCTAAAGGTTGACTTAATCTTCCATCTTTCCAAGGTCAGTAAAATGAGGACTCAGATTGTCGGGGCAATTTGCTGACTCTGTAAACTACTTAGAACTAACTGTAAAGCACTATGAAGCAGTATACAAGTCTAAGTGTTATTGCCACTGCTATTATTGTTTCTTTTTTAAAAATAACATACACTGCTTTTTAAAAGCTACTATACAGGGGGAAATGTTACACCAGAATGGCATGTTATTGTAAATCAAATGTACTGTTTCAATACTATTCCAGTTTCCATTAAGAAATCCTTTTCTGCAATGCTTTTTTATATAACATATATATACAAACAAGTGAAATGTATTAGTGTAGATTCATTATTTATTTTCATCTATAGAAAAAAAAAACCTGAATTACAACCATGCTATCAAATCATGCCATTTGATATTAAATATTTGTCTAAGGCCTATTTCTAAGTTGAGAATTTAAGTACATACACAGTTTCTGAAAACATTTCAACCTTTCTTTGGATTTATGGACACTAATGATCAAGTTCATGGTAATTATCATGGATGGGGTAACAATAGGATGCTTTGCATATGCTAAAAGGGATCTTATTTATTATTTTAAAAGTTTCCATAGTAATTTGTTAGACTAAATAATTATACTGAACTCCTGAGCAAATTATAAAATTTAAATACAAGTTGAAAATGTATATAAAAAGAGAGGGAGTAAGGGAAAGAGAGAGAAAGAGCCAAAAGATCCTGGAAATGAATCCTGAGATAAACTATACACAATGAATGAGACTATTTTATGTAAATAATCTATAAAAGGGAAGAAGTGGTTACAATCTAAGAATTACTATATTCAACATTCTGTCCTGTCTGGGTTTGTTGTATTTTGTTGTATATCTTTCAGGACCAGCTCCTTGCCTAACCTATGGTCACAAGCCACAGTCATCCCCATCTTCAAAAAGGGAGACCCAAGCCTAGTTGAAAATTACAGACCAATCTCCTTATGCTGCGTCACCTGTAAAGTCATGGAATCAATTATTAACCAATCCATCATCCTCCACTTAGAGACAAACAACCTACTCTCCAATAAACAATTTGGTTTCAGAAAAAAACTATCCTGTAATCTGCAACTCTTACACTGCAAAAACATATGGACGACACAACTCGACCAGGGCAAAGCAATAGACGCAATCTGTAAAGCCTTTGATTCAGTGGTACACGACAAACTACTCCTAAAAATAAAATCCTATGGTATCTCTGGACAACTG